CCAAATATGTAGATATGTATATAATATATACTTACATAGCCAAGCTGCATGCGGGCAGTCAGCTATAGCACCACCATTCACTTTGAGCTTTACAGTGTATTAATTTGCATAAGATAATACCTAAAATTAGTATTTAAAAAGAGAAACGATTTATCTTTTGAATTGTTTGGTTTCCATTACACATTAGGCCTAAAGTTGTTTTGCTTGTAGCTCTCCTTATGGTTTTCCAACATGAACAAAAGTCTGAAATGGCTAAATATGTATTTCTGCTCCTTGATTGTTATAAAATTTTACAGTTTTTTCAACAAAGTCGCAGGATGTCGCTTTAATTGCGTCACCTAAGAGTAAATAGTCTTCAATTAACTTAATATATACTCGGCGAAAACTGTAAATACACTTTTGAATTTTCACAAATATTGACCCTTTTGCGAATTACAATTTTGAAGCCCGCCAGGAAAATGTTCAGCGAACTTACAGGAAAACTTAAAACCAAATGTCTTCAGTAGCTTTCGCAATTAGATCTAGAAAGGAACCTCAATTTTATTTATCAAATATCAAATTTTTAAAAAAATTTCATACGTATTTTTATGTATAGATGAGATGACACACAGGTGATTTCTTGTGATACAAATACACACCCCGGAAAAAAATATAACGTCAATAAAAAAAAAAAAATTTGATTCCTTTTGTTTTATTTTATTTAGTAAAAACCAAAAAAAAAGATATTATTTATGATTAAAAAAATAAAAATCGGTTAATAATAATTAAATGTTGATTAATATTTTTTAACTTATAATGATTACCATCCCTGATTAAAAAACGTGTAAATACGTTCTCTTTCCTCCAAATTATTATTCGATCGAAATTTTAAAAATTTCAGATTTTCTGATATTGTAAAATTGTCGTTGATTGATGGTCCTTTTTTGTGCTTCACAAAAACACGATGCATTTTACGATGTTTTAGAGTATTTCTAACCAGACCACAAGAATTTCTTTATTATGGCACTTTCAAAATCTTAATTTGCCCTAATGTGTTTCGTAAGGAATTTAGTCACGACACGAAAAC